AGGCAGGGATGCACGAAGGCAGTGCTTCCCCAGCACCCCCGACTGGTGCTTTGGGGTCAGCACCCATCCCACCTCAAAAACATGCTGCTTTCTCCTTGAGCTTCAGCCCTGCAGCCCGCTGGGTGCTGGGAATTGCATCTGGTGAACCCCTTATGGCACATCTCCCCCAGCAATGGAGCAGGGGGGTTACCTGCAGAGAACTTTCCTCCTGGAGATGTGGGGTTTGGGGAGATAGACTCCCCAAGGCTTAGCAACTGAACAGCAAGTCTGAGCCGTTGTTGGCAGGTATGGGCTTGACTGGTAGACCAGCAGCAGGAAAAACATCCGGGTTTGCTTTGCGAGTGGAAAGTGAGGTGGAAATGTTGGAGATTGGTGGCTTTATGATAGACCACAGAGAGGAAACCAGGGCAGAAATAAGTTTTCATGTTGGTCTGTCCCATGGGTCCACAAGTTAAACGAGGGCTGCATCCAGGTGGTATTTTTAAAGCTGCTGCCTTAAATCTTGCTTTTTTTTTAAATACAGAATATCTTTAAATGCTGCTAATTCTCAGTGAGAGCTGAATGTTGACGAGTTTCATCTGAATTATACTAAATTGGCAAGAGGATGTGATCAGGCAGGATGCAGCGGACAGATGGATGGCAGCGACTCAGGCTGCTGTAAGGCAAAGGTGCAAGTGGGAGCACAAAACTGGAAAGAAATGCTAGGAAGATGTGGTGGTTTAACGCCAGCTGGCAACTGAGTACCACGCAGCCTTGTTGTAAAGAGAAAGTAAGTAAGGAGAGGCACTGCACAAGGTGTTTTGGTTTTAAATCCAGCTGCAATGGTCCTGATGCAGAGAGCTTTGGGCAAGAATACGACTAAGCTGGGGTGGAGCAAGAAAGGGATTTGGATAAAGTAAGTGGCAGAATCTAATAACAATAGATTTGTTTGATATATGTTACATCAGTGCACTGGTTTTATCTTTACCAAAATGAGCTGCCAGGGGTGGCAGCTCCTTCCCAGCCTGTGTGCCTCTTGTGTTCAGTTGTCCAAGCAACCCAGACTTGTCCTTTCAGTGTTACAAGGTGGCAGGCACAAAACCAGTGAGAGAAAGAGGTGCTGCAAAGACCAGGAGGAACGTGTTCAGATGGAGTCCAGCTCTTGGTGGACTTGTCTGCTATATCCCACTTCAGGGAGGTGGAGGTTGAACCACAGCTGAGGTTCACTCAGTGCCTGTGTCTCCATCCGCTGCCTGGGGACATTTAGGAGCCTGAATGGCCAGGAGTCCCTTTTGCACTGAATTTGGACCTGAAATGTGGTGTGTGGAGCAGCAGTGCCCTCAGTTGGGGAATCCCTTGCTCTGGGACTCACTGCGGTGGTTTTCACCTTGTCTCACCATGTCCTTTTCCTTCCTGCCCTCTTGAATCTAGTTGCCAGCAGCTTTTCCTCCCTCTGGCTCATCATTTTTGCTACCCTGTGTGTTGTGTTTCTTCTCCCACTGTATATGACTCTTGGCCAGCCAATGTTTAAACTTCCTGGTGTAGGAACCACAGACACAACTGTTGTGATGAAACCTATTTCTTATTCCAGAAGCATGCCTGCTTTATGGCACACTTAAAAGGCAGTGGTGAGCAGTAAAGTCTTTGGTTTACATAAACCCCCAAATCACAGAGGTCTCCAAACATGCATGTGCATGAAAATGCTCCTTTTGTCCTTGTCCCTGGATGATGCTTCAACAACATGCACAAACCTCTTGTGAGGCTTCATTAACAAGTGGGATTTAATTGCTCTGTCGATGAGAATGCCTCTCTTTGCATAGGAGGATACAACTGTGGTCATGTAAACCTGTTGAAGTGAATTGAGGTGGAGGACAAGCCCATAGCTCTCCTTCTCTTAGTGCTGTTCATATTAAGTCTGGGAGGGACCTAATCTCTGCAGTAAGTGAAGAGAAGGTGAGGGTTTGCACCACCCCATGTGGAATGGGAAGTCCCAGGTTCACCCCATGTGGCTTCTGGCTCTGGTGCTAGGAGGAGAGAGATGCAGAGGCAGGCAGTGCAAGTTTTGGGTAGGTCTGGCTGCTCTCTGGAGTTCAGAGAGAGGAACTGGGCAAGTAAACCTCTCCACTGAGCATCTCATTGAGCGTCTTGGTGTTCTGGGAGATGCACTGAGGCATGTGGAGTACTCTGGAGTCTCAGGCATTTTATACTGGCTTTTCTTTTTGTGTGGACAAGACTACTCTGCTGTTACTTTATGCTTCTCTGCCAGACCTGCTACTCCAAAGGTGGGAAAGACTTATTTAGAAGCAAAATAAACAAGAACATGAATTGAATGTACAGCACAGCACTTACCTTTAAGATGAACCATGTCGTAGGATTCAGGATGCATGTGTTTAGATGTTTATTGTGCTTGAATGTATATTCCTTAATTTCCATCCCAGACAAGCATTCCTACTTCAGCCCAAGTGGGTGCTGTTCCTCAACCAGGGAGGTTTTGGTAAGCTGGATCTTCCTTTGTAGAGATTAAAAAGAAATATAACCTGCAGAACTCAATCCTTTTTTTCCACCCCAGCACGTGTTGATCACCAGACATTGTGCAGCCTTTTATATTTTGCAAGGGTATAATCTCCTTTGTTTAATAAAAAAGCATAACCATGCATCTTGGAAATGTCTGCATGGACAGTGCGACTCCAGAGGCTGTTGCCATGTGCTTCAGAACCTCTGTTGAGAGTAAAGGCTGCTGAGGACTGAGCTCAACTTCTCCACTTTGGGAGGGCGCACAGGGGGTGCCTTGAACCCTAACACAGAAGTAGTGGGAGGCTGCGTGCAGACTTGCTGCACAGCCATGGGACCACCGTGCTGGGGCATGGGGAATGCTGCAGGCCTGCAGAGCTGAGGTGGACATGCAGATGGGAAGGGTTTCCCACCGATTCTCCCCAGCAGCTTCTGATCTCCCACATGTCACTGTCTTCCTGCCAGGCCTCACCAACGTTGCTCTTGTTCTGCCAGGCCCTACTAATGTGTTTCTCCTCTGTTTCTCAGCTATACCCTGGACAACAATGTCCTCACCACAGAGCAAAGGCAGTTCTATGAAGACAATGGGTATCTGGTCATTAAGAAGCTTGTTTCTGATGGAGACATTGAGCGCTTCAGGTATGGGGCACTCACCAAAGGTGCTGGCGGTTCCTGTGTGCAGCAGCATCCCAAGATTGCTCTGGGAAGCTGGAAGAAGTGGGACTCTCCCATCATGGACATTCCCTCTGCTTTGCAGGAAGGAGTTCTTGAGGATTTGTAGAAGGGAGGTGAATCCATCAGGAGCTATGATTATGAAAGATGAGTCCCTGAGATCGCAGTATGGCCAGTCTGAAAGCGTAGTTAATAAAGTGCAGGACTTCCAGGAGGATGAAGAGTTGTTCAGATACTGTACTCTGCCAGAGGTAAAACTAAAAAGTAACCACAAACAGGGGTATGGTGGTGGAAGAGCCTGTATGGATGTGTCTGTGTTCGAATGCCTGGGCAAAGAAGCTGATTCTGGTTCCACTAAAGCTGTATCCTTTATCCCTTAGAGCCCCTCTGTGTCACTCCCATAAGTACATATGCGAGGAGGGAATATCATTCCATCTTTTAAGAGTGTTCTGCATGAGCACAGGATGGATGGATGGTGGTCAGGGCATATTTAGACCAGTGCTCCTCAGTCCCTGTGGTGCAGAGCCAGTCAGGAATGTGACTAACCCAAACAATGTCTTTTATCCAGGCAAAGCCCCAGCCCTCTGGGCAGGTCCAGTTTTGCAGCCAGTGTTCGTGTTGTGGCAGACAGCCACGGTAGCTTTGTGGAAGTATGACCCTCCCCATCTCTTCAAGCCCACCCAGCAGCCTGCTGCACCATCTTCCATCTTGGCCTCCTACCATGCCCATTTGTGTGTTATGCCACATCCTGCCTCCTGTCCTGCATGCCTCCATCCCGACCTCCTCCTATACCCTAGTCCTCAGTCAAACATCCAGGTCCCAGTGCTGCCTCAGCAATCTTTCCTCTTGACTTCATGTTTCTTATATATATATATTTAATGTTTTCTTCCCTGTAGGTCCTCAAGTATGTTGAGTGCTTTACAGGGCCAAACATCATGGCAATGCACACCATGCTGATAAATAAACTTCCAGATTCTGGTAAGGAAAACTTGGATAAGAGGAAAATACAGACGCTATTGTGCTGTCTATCCAGCCACAGCTGAAGTTAGTGTTTTAGAAAAGCTGTTTGAAAAAATAAGGCAAATCAAAACCAAATAACTGTGAATATTTGTGAGGCCACTTTGTTAATGGTTTGTTTTCTTTTAACCATGGCTTAATGAGATAAAGGTTCTTGTCTTTCAATATTCAGTGGATGTTTGTTTGCAGAAGATGGTGGTTGTCTTGATTGTCTTTGAACGCTCACATGAGCAAGCAAGCTCCCTATTTGGCCTTTATGCAGGCACAGCTGGCTCAGGGTTTAAAACATGACGTTTGTTGAGCTCAACTTTTCCAATGTGTTAAAGATGAAAGCTCCTGTGGACCTTGGTGAAAGGCAGTAACGACAGAGATCATCCTTTGCTTGGAGTTTGTACACTCCTGATCTCACTGACAGTGGGTGCAAGCTCAGCACTTCGATAGGAACATACCTGAGTAAGGTGCCAAAAGGAACAATTTGAAGCCAAGCTCCTGCTGGTGAAAACTGACATCATAATTCATGCAGGTGTGGTGGGAAAGGAGAGGAAGAGAACAGGACTGACCATGTTAATGGTTCTTCAGAGGAGCTTGGACTCTGCATAAGCTGTTTTGGTTTAGCAAAGTTGAGACCTGAGCCTCAGGTTATTGTTCTTAAGGTGTTTCTTAGTCTCAGGTGTGCAGCTTCTGAGCAGATACGTAACACTGAGTGATTAAAACGCTGACTTTATTCAAGTCATCTCCACTTGGCATCTTGAATGCTCCACAGAAAGCTCTGGCATTTTGGCTTGGGAACTCAACAGGAGACCATGGACATAAAAGCAGAGAATTAATGGACAAGAAATGGGAAGCTGCTCCATATTTGCAGGGTCTCCATCCAGTATCTTTGAGGAGTACTTTAGGAGAGGTGCAGATCTCTGGAGAGTTTTCGAGGGTGAATAATGTGGCAAAAGAGGCCAGTGGAAACATCCTTACTCTATTTGAGGAGCAAACCCAATGGCAAACTAAGTATGTACATAATAGCTATAAAAGGCTGTTTTGGTGTGGGTGATATGTTTCCATTTCCATAGAGGGAAAAGAAGTAACAAAAAGACTTTCACAAATATTTACGCTTGTTTAGACTTCACAGAACAAAGCCTCTAGAGCAAAGGGTAATGGATTGCTGGTGGACTGTCTGGGGAGGCTGCAGTCCATAAATTGAGATTTATTTTCTTAAATGAAGGCTAAATAAACATGTGTTGGGTGCAGCACAGACAGGGCTGGCTCTGCTTGCAACACAGCCATAGATCAAGTGAGTGCAGACAGCAGCGGCCGTTTGGAAGTCTTTGTACTGGAAAGGTTTGTGCAACACTGCTGGTTAAAGTTCACAAAGCTGGGGAGCAGCCAGAGGGAATGGTGAACACGTGGCAAGGATGTGGTGAAGGCCAGCAAAAGGAGTCTTTCTTCTGAGGGATCATGCAGCCTCCTGGCATCCACCGTGTCCCCATTGCTGTCCCATGAGCCACCACTATGCTCCTGGTCGTTGGGATGGGTGCAGGGTACCCTCTTGGGCTTCCAAGGTGGGCTGGAGCAGACAGCGAGTACACAAAGTCTCTCCAGTGTCAAGCAGCAGCTTCTTAGGACACGTTACAACAGCGGTTTAATGGGAAGGAAAAGGCTGTGTCACGTTTGACGAGGTTGAAGGTTTTGACCCTGTGTTGCAGATAAACAGACTTTTCTCCACCCCATGCATCAGGACTTGCACTACTTCCCCTTCCGGCCCGCGGCCCGCATCGTGTGCTCCTGGACTGCCATGGAGAGGGCTCACCAGGACAACGGCTGCCTGGTCGTGCAGCCGGGGACACACAAGATGCTCCTGCAGCCTCACGGCTACCCAAAACAGGAGGTACAGCAGCACAGGGGCGTGGGGAGGGTGTGCGTGCTTGGCTGGCCTCACTCCATTAACGTGGGTAGATTTGCCTCTGCTCCCACCTTCGTGTGTGTCATGGCATAACGGCATGAACACCCAGGTCTGAGGAGTCTTTATCCTCCTGTGAGTTTGTTCCTGCCTGGTGAGCGTGTGCGTGGTCCTAAACAGGAGAAATTGGGTAGTGAACAACTGGATGCAATTAAACATCAAGCTGCATCTTCCCCCTAAGAATGGATGTTTCCTGACCTGGCCTAGTGTTGGTGATGGTTATACTGGGAGCAGAGGGCAGGACCCCAGCGGTGGCATCAGGCAACTCTTGTGGGATTCTTCCCTGTTGTCTCCAGCCAAGCAATGTTCTTAATTGTCTGAATCCAGCTTCAGAACATAGAAAAAGTGTTATTTCACTGTAGCACAGGCTTGATGTAGGAAGACTTGTAGGCAAGTGGGCAGGCTTCTAGGTGGCCGTGCTGAATGCACTGCCCAGAGGAGGGCAGAGCAGTGGCTGTCCCTGCTGTCCCTTGCATTGAGAGCTGTGATTTTAACTGAGTGATTTCAACCCAGCCTTCTTGTCTAGGGTGTGGGCAACAAACTTTTCCATGGGCTGCTTGATGAGGATGAGAAGAGTCCCAGGGTTCACGTTGTCATGGAGAAGGGAGACACGGTGTTCTTCCACCCCCTGCTCATCCATGGCTCTGGGATAAACAAGACAACAGGTTTCCGAAAGGTAGGAAACCATCTCTTGAGAGAGCTTGTGATATTTCTGGTTTTTTCAAAGCTCATGAGTATGTGGATGATTTGTAAATGAGTTTTTATCTTACTAATACACTTTTACACTCTATTTTTAAACATCTCTGTCTTTTGGGATAAGTGCATGCTTTGGGGCTGCTTGAGAAAAACAGAACAGGAGTAGAAACTGGATGTTGAATCTATGTTTGAAGCCTGGCTGGCTCTATTTGCTTTGCCAATAGTTCCCTTTCAGCTGTCCCACATATCAGGAACTTCTCTAACTTTATTCCCCTGCTTGCTTGGTATCTCCTGTCTGGATAGCAGGAGCCTCCATCGTCCAATATAATACTGATTTAGATGATAACACAACCCATTTTTCTACTGAAATTTGATTACACATCTGTTTGTTTTGCGTCATGATTATTTAACTGAAACAGGCAAAAGTGCCCTCCTTTGGAGGCCTGATCCTTCATCAGAAGGGGGTTCATCCAGGCATGTTAGGGAACTGCAGCCACTAGTAGCAATGCAGAACTTTCCCCCCATGCTCTGCAACATGGGCTGCTCTGTTTTTTGGTTTTGCCTGCATTGACTACTTAGATGGCCCATTCCTTTGGCCCCTGTCACAGTTGGCTGGTGTGGAATTCCTTCCTCCTTCCATACTGAAAGCAGAGACAACATCAGGTACGGAGTCTCATCTGCTGGCTTTTTCCTGGCTAGCGGAGCAATAGTCCTGTTTAATATCCCACAGAAACACAAGAGCTTCCTCAGAACTGTGCCAAATCCCAACATCTGTCTGCCTTTGGGGTAAATCAGTGACTATCCTGGAGCTCTCTGAGCCAGGTTATGGTCCAGCTCCCTTTGAGATTTGGCATTATCCCACCTGCAGCTGGCATAGCTCCTGTAATGAGAGCTTTTCCAGTGGGGCTTTTCTGTTTATTACCTTTAGACTCTGCTTAAGCAAGAACTGGTTACAAAATGAAGTGGTTGATGTGACTGCCTGGGTGCAGAAAATAAAACCCCTCACTGGGTGCACACGGATCTGCTCCAACCCTGACTCTAGTTGTTCATACTCACAGAACCACACACTGGTTTGGGTTGAAGGGACCTTAAAGTTCATCCAGTTCCAACCCCTGCCACAGGCAAGGACACCTTCCAATAGAGCAGGTTGCTCCAAGCCCCTGTGTCCAACCTGGCCTTGAACACTGCCAGGGATGGGGCAGCCACAGCTTCTCTGGGCACCCTGTGCCAGCGCCTCAGCACCCTCACAGGGAAGAATTTCCTCCTACTATGTAAATCTACCCTCTCAGTTTAAAGCCATTCCCCCTTGTCCTGTCAGTACATGCCCTTGGATCAAGTAGTACAGTTCATGCTGGAGGAACGTTTGGGAGAGGAGAGAAGGGAAGGAAGAATAGCATGTCAGAAAGCAGGATTATTTCCCCAGCAAGAGTATTTCTCCAAGGGGGAACCCTCAGGAGAGCAGGAGTGCTCAGAAAGGAGGAAGGAATTTGCCGACATGATAAGGGATGGTGTGTCCATGGTCTGGGATGCATGAGGTTTGTTTCCATCAGCATTGTGGTAGTGAGTGATGCCCAATTTCCTCACACAGAGCATAAGTTGCCACTTTGCCAGCTCAGAGTGCTACTACATTGATGTCAAGAACACGATCCAAGAGGATCTGGAGAAAGAACTGGTAGAAATGGTTCGCAAGAAGTACAACATGACTTCTGTAGAACTCAAGGTAAGACTTGGCTTTATTATGTCCTTTGTTACAGTCCAGGTCTGTTCCCTTTCATTAGAGAAAATCCCTTGTGTGACAGATCTGTGCTTTTTGCTCTGCCCACTTTGGCACATCGAGCTGTTTGATGCAGAGGGGTTTGGCAGAACAAAAGACCTGATGTTCAGAGGGTGACCAGTAGGCTTTTCGGGGGCCTTTCTGCTGGTTCTCACTGTGATAGAGAAGTGTCCTTGCTCTCAGGGCAGCACCTTCACATCCCTTGAGCTCTAGAAGTTCCTCCTCCAGCTCTGCTTGTCACAGTGGGGTTTGTGAGCATGGCTGGATCCCTTCCAGTGCTGGCTGAGCTGGTGGAGTTTAGATCAGCACTTTGTTATGTGGCTGAGACTGATGTTGCAGCATAAGCGAGGAGGAGCTGCACACTCTACTCTTGTGATGGCTCAGCTCTGAGGCTCCTCAGGTGCCTTTCTTACAGCACTGGAGGGGGTCTGGCTTTCTCCATGCGCAGTGGGGTGGGTTAAAATGGCAAGGCAGGAACAGGGTGAAGTCCACGCAAGCTTTGCCCTTCACTGCATCTCCTGGTTCACAGTTGTCTGAACCAGAGCCCCCTGCAGTTATATTTGGACTGCACGATGTAAATAAGAAGATTTGGTCATCTCTTGGCCTGAAATTGCAAGTAGAAGAAGGTGCAGTAAGTTCAGTGCTCATCCACAGCTTCTATGTCCACAGTTCTTACAGTTTCCCCTCCAAATGGCAGGTTTTCCCTTTAAATCAAGTAGCCACATCTGACTGCAACAGCAGGCCAAATTTGTTGGGTTACACATAATCCCACATCAGTTGTTTACACTTGAGGCTACAGCAGGTATGTTGGCAGCAATATGCATCAAAAAGAATGTATATCTCAAAAGAAAGTGACTGTGGGATACTGGAATCGTGCTGAAAAACTGAAACCATGGTGTGAAATGGAGAGCAAATCTCAATTCTTCAGGGATTCGGCCACTGAAACAATAATGAACCTTGTTACTGGGGTGGAAATGTGCTGAATTTCTTCACCATCAGCAGTTCCCAAACACAGGCACAGCTGGTGTCGAGGCAGTGAAGTCTGGAGGTAACAGGCAGTGATTTTTAATGCACGTAGTTTACAGCTATTCCAATATCAAGAGCATTCAGGAGGAGAGAACTTTCTTTTTCAGCTTTGGGGTGGTTGTGTTTGGTTTTCCCCATGCTGTGCCTGGGTCTGATGGGGTGTCCAGCTGCGTTTTGCAGTCCTGTTCTTGCATGATATCTATAAAGTTACAGCTTGCTTGACTTCGGATTCCTGGAGCTAGGGAGGTATGCAGTGAAACCCCAAGTGAGTGCAGTGAGGCTCTTGCCTTCTCATGAGTGGAAATGCAGTTGTGCCCATAAAAGCCTCAGTTGAGCCTGTTTTCTTGTAGCTTTAAGCTTTTAACCACGGTTGGAGCTTTCACCCACAGGAGAGCTCCATGGGAGCTCTTATATTTCACCTTCAGAAGACTAGTAAGGACTAAGTAACCCTCACCCAGAGAAACTGAGGTAGGAGCTTGCCCAAGATTTATCAAATCTGAAGCAAATAGTGGTCTTTGCTTTGCAGCAACGCCTGCCCAGCACCTGACTTCTAGCTGAGGGCTGGCATTCATCTCCATTACTTGGTTCCTGCTGCACAAGGATTATCACTTGCTCGTGGGCTGCAGTGTGGGAGGTGTAGTCAGTTGGGGAGCTTTTCTGACCACCCAAAGGCGCACAAGGCGCACTGTGACTTCTGCAAGGGTGATGTTCTCTGTGCTGCTCCTGTTTCCTCTTCTGGCATCCTCCAGAATTGAACCGTGGGCATCTTGCCTTCCAACAACCTCACAAACAGCCTGTCTCCTCGGGGTGGAGGTTGCACCTCTTCCTTAGTTTGGGCTGTGGTTTTGTTCCTGATATTTAGGATTTGGAATGCTGTTCAGTGAATGTTCTGGTGTGGTTTTGTGCAGAGGCAGCTGTATCTGTATCTATTTCCACCTGTGTAAACTGGAATCCTGGTCATCGTTTCTGCTGGCCCTTAAGGTTTATTCCTTTGTCCCATTTTTGTTTTGAAGGATATTTGGAAGTTCCGAGCACGGCTTGTGCAAGGGGAAAGAATTAATCTGTAGAACAACCTCTGAAGAGCAGGATGGAAACCACGGGCCTGAGAAGGAGCTTCTCTGGTTGGAGGGTGCAGACCCTGCCTGTGCTTTGTTGACCTCTGTATTGGTACCTTAGCCAAATGCTGCGTCACAGAATCACGTTACGCTAACACAAAGTAATTGCACTGAGTTTGAACAGCTGATGCCAAGGGAAACCTAACCTAGAAAACTGGATTTGCTGTGGTTATCATAGAAAATCAAAGAATTAAGGTCTTGAAAGAACACTTTGATTCCTTTGATGTTTTTATTCCTGGTTTTTAGAAGCTTCTCACTGACATCCCTCTGGAATGATGCTAGATTAACCTAAGATTTTGTGCAAGAATTTCCAGCATTTCCAACCTCCTTTTCTATGCAAAAGTAATAGAATGAATCAGAGTTTCATGCAAGCCTTCAGTGTGAGCCCACATGGGAAGTTAGTACAGCTCATGGAGATGGGCATATTTGTACCAGCAGAATCAACTGTGTAAGGAACTGGATAACAGGGAAGCAGCGACCACTCACATGTTAAAATGGGATTGATGGGCTGGAACATGATTGCTATTAGGGTTCCTTAGCCATGACCTGGCGTTGGCATCACCTCTTGTGATGGCACAAGTGAAAGACATGACTGACAGGGTTGGGAGTTACTGGGCCAGCAAAGCAGCCTCTTGTTGGCCTTACAATGGATCCAAGGCTGTGTGAAATGAGGGGGGAGTCCTTTGAGTCTGGGAAGAGGTGCCTTTTGGTGCTGCCAGGTTGGGGAGGTGGTGGGATGCTGCTTGGGATGCGCTGGTGCAGCGTGGAGCGACGTGCACTGACATGATCCTCTCACAGTGTTTTTTCTTGCTTTCTAGAAGATTCTTTTGCTTACAGGATCTATTTTCTGAAATACAGATTAAATCAGAGCAAACCTGTGTTCCGGGGCTGTGTTGTGTCATTTCTGCTGCAGTGGATGCGCCATTGGATACCCCAGTGCAAAATGTCAACCCTCAGCTCTTTTATTTTACCCCTTCCAACTGAAGGTGCCAGAACAGCACCAGAGGCTGCACTGATGGGCTCTAAAGGCTCCTTCTGTTATCCTGCAGCTCAGGAAGCCACTTGGTTGAGACAGAAGATCAGGCACAGCCCTGTCCATGACCCACAAGGCGCAAAATCTCCCCTGGAGAACTGCCTGCACAAGCAGCTCCAGTCAAAGCCATTACAGTCATTTCATGCATGACAACGTGGTGCAGAGGAGGGTTTTGCTCTTCTTCCTCTTCCTGCAGTGTCTACAGGTTTTCTTGCTGGTTTGAATGCTTTCCAATCAAGGTGAGGTTTGAGCACGGCTATTGCGTTGGTCCTAAACCCTTGGTGATGGGGTGAGGTGTGTGGGCCATGGTTCCCACCTGGAAACAGACACGGCCTCTCAGTAGCCTCTTTTAACCCCAACACTGAGAAGTCTGATGAATGGGAGACTTTTAGGACTTTAGGCCCCCAGCCCTGGTCACTGACTGACCTTGAGTATCCCGGTTCCTGCATCCCTTGCCATGCCCCCTCTATGTAACCCCAGCACTGATCCTGCTCCTGGGGAGACGTGCCATGATGCCTCCAGGCTTGGACCTTCTCAGCCTGGTCTCTGCTCGCTGCGTGGGCTCAAGTGAATGTCAGGCAGTGAGTTGGGGGCTCCTCTGCTGCCTTTGCTGAGCTCACAGCCTCGCTGGTGCTCTCCCTGGGAGTTCCGTGAGGACTTAGAGTATCCCGTCTGGTTCACAGCACAGGGGATGTGGAGACTTCCCTGCCTGCTGCTGCGGGTGTAGCTGAGTTGACTGCAGAGGGAGCTGTGACCACGGAGAAGAGCTGTAGGTGTCCATTAGATGCACAGTTTCCAGACTTTGCATTACAGTTGGACTTGGTGATCTTAAAGGTCTTCTCCAGGTTGATTCCATGATTCTCGTACTGTGGCTGGGAGAGGGAAGGAAAGGAAGAACTTTAGCTTTGTTTTAAAAGTTTGTGTTGCTCTGCCTATGGGTTTAGGCTTAAATTTCCTCTTTAAGAAGAACAAACCCATCAAAGACCTCACAGAACATCTAAACTCAGCACTTGTCCCATCTTATGAGAGGCTCAAGTCCTTACTCCTCCTACAACAACAGGTTGAGGTACTCCAGAGCCTGGGGAGGAGTAAGCCTGGGCAAGCTCCCCTTGACTGTGTGCAAGGCCAGCTCAGTGCACCCTAGCAATGCCAAGGAGCCTGATCTCTGCCCTCTGAAATGACCATGGGCAGAGCCAGATCCAGCAGAGCTTCTGGGCTGCTTCCCAGTACAGCTACTTGCTCATGGGTGCAGGATCGTGTCCCTGGGAGAGCAAGGATTTACAAGCACTTCTTCACAGGATGCTTGAGCAAGGGATGGAGTCCAAAGGATGCTTCAGTCCATGCAAATGGACATGTAAAGGATCTACCTGGTAAGTGCTTTCTTGTTCCTATTCCCACCCATCCCAGCCAGCAGAGGTTCTGCAGTCACAGGTTTCCAAGGCACATGCCCCACCAGTGGGAATTCACAGCTAGAAACTCACCTCAGTCCCCAGCACTTGGCTTTCCAGGCAAAATCCCAAACCACAACCGAGTATCATCTTGTAGGGTTTGGTTTCCTGCAGCCACAGGAAAGCCACAAGGTCATCTCAGCCTTCAGGTTCAAGCTCCCTCTTTGAGTTGCCACCACGGCAGCAGGCAGAGGAGGAGGGGAGGAAAAGCAATGATTAACCAGGTCACCTTCTTGTTCCTCTGGGAGGAAACCTGCCCAGTGTGCTGCAGCCCCATGGAGAGCAAGTGCAGGAACCCAGACATGCTGCCCATCCCTCAATGGTTTTTGCTGTCTCAAAGTATCCAGCTGTTTCCATCAGACAAGGGATTTTGTGGTGAGCATCGCTCCTGTGGCAGCACCTATAGGTGGTTTGTCTGTGCTTGGTTTGTAGTTTGGGTAAAACTGCTGGGAATAGGCCCACCCTCATGAGCAACCCTCCCAGCAGTTAGTTTGCAATGTAAACCTGCCCGGCTGTTTGACTTGCACTGTGTTGCATAAACCACATTTTCTTTCCTATTGCTTTTTGCTCTGTAGATCCTCAAAGCTGTTGAGTACTTCACAGGACCAAACATCACAGCCATGCAGAACACGCTGATAACTAAACTTCCAGATCCCAGTAATCAGAGCTCCAGAGAAATGGACATGCAGAAGCTGTTGGTATGCCCAAGTGTTGTGCATTTAACTGAAGCAGCACCTACCCTTGTAGAAAGGTTGCTTGAATTGAACTAAATTGAATTGAATTGAATTGAATTGAATTGAATTGAAGGCAAATCTGAAAACATCTGATTTTGGGAATAGTGTGTTTTAGTTTAGCCCTGCTTCAGTGGGATACATTTCTTACTGTTCCATTTGCAATAGGTGTTCAGGCTCACACATGATTTAATTAGGAGGTACGTGTGTGCCTCCTAAACAGAAGTCCTGTTATATCCAACTACATGTTACACTTAAAACATTCTTTACAACTGATTTAATCACAGAATCCCAAACTGGTTTGGGTTGGAAGGGACCTTAAAGCTCATCCAGTTCCAACCCCCTGCCATGGGCAGGGACACCTTCCACTAGAGCAGGTTGCTCAGGTATGTTTCTCCAGTTTAGGTCTCTGCACCATGTTACCTGTCCCTCAAGTATCTATTTTTGATAAGCAGCATGCAAGTTCCAAAACCACACATAAACCCATCAGCCCCCATATTCAGCTGCTCATCCAGCCTCCTGCGTGTGCATGAAGCCCCACTGTTCAAGACACATTCTTTAGGCTTGACATTGCACATGTGTTGAAAGCAAGTGCTTCCTGGAGCTTGGTAAAAGGCCATAATTACAGAGAGTATCCTCTGCTTAGAGTTTTTGTGCTGTTTTCCAGACTAATAGTTCAGAGATGTCAAATCCAGGCTGACTCCTGCCCTTGCTGACAGCGGTTGCATGCTCAGCGCTTTGATGGGAAGACACTTGAATAGATGCCAAAGGAAAGGATTTTGAATCCTGGCTTTGGCTTCTCGTGCTGCAGATCAAAGTCTTGCTTCATACCAGGGGAATGGGGGGGGGAGGAAGTTTAATTAACCACAGTTGTTACGAGGTTGATTTGAGTCTCCATCAGCTTCTGCAGTTCAACAGAGCTGAGGCCCAGCTGTTTCCTACTCTGAGGTGTCCAGCGTGGACACAGAGTACATTGAGTTCTCATTCAGTTTGTTCATGCCATTCCCAACAACTCTGCAGAGCAGCTGTGGACCCGAGAACCATGTTTGGGGTCTCACTGTGCCAAAGAGTGAGATTTAAACTCATTTGGCCTCAGAACTGAGTGCTGGCAAGGAGCGTGCTTGGAGCCAGAGCTTCACCTGCAGCTTTGGAGCAGCCTCTTGGGACACGTTACCAGGGTGATGTTCCCCAGGACAATGCTATATCACAGCTACAGTGCAGGAAGAGTCATTTCAGTGCAGCCACCCATGTTCCCTGTCCTCCAGGTAACCGGAGTTCTCACCACCCCATGCATCAGGACTCACACTGTTTCCCCTTCCAGCCTGCAGACCACATTGTGTGCTCCTGGACCCCAGTGGAGAGGGACAACCTGGTCATGCAGCCAGGGAGGCACAAGGAGCCCCTGAAGCCTCATGGCTATCCCACGTGAGAGGTAGAGCAGCACAGGGGGGTTGGGAAGGGTGTGCATGTGGGGAGCACATTTTGTCTGGTGGGTACATCCTAACACAGCCTGTGTCTGGGAAGCTCTGTTACAAATCGGTCTTTGTTCACACTGATCATCAGTTTTTCTCTATTCCTGCCAAGTCTGAAGACACTTTCTTCTTCTCTGAACTCCTTCCTGCCCAGAAAACATGTTTGTTTTCCTGTAGAAGAAAACTGGGTGATAAACAATTAACCAGAATTTAATTGCAAACATTATTTTTCTCCTAAGCAAGGCTGCATCCTGACCTGGCCCAGGGCTGGTAACGGCTGCGCTTGGAGTGAGAGGCTGGCCAGATGTGCCATCAGACAACACTTGAGGGGATCCCTGATGCGCTCTTATCCATTCTCTCTACTGGAGATAAGTTCTTAATCGTTTGAATTCAACTTTAGAAAGCAGATGAAGAACATTTTAGTTGTGAGATGGGAATTTCTCATAGAGGTTTGCAAGTCAGAGAAAGAGAGCAGAGAAATTGCCCAGAGAAGCTGTGGCTGCCCCATCCCTGGCAGTGTTCAAGGCCAGGTTGGACACAGGGGCTTGGAGCAACCTGCTCTAGTGGAAGGTGTCCCTGCCCGTGGCAGGGGTTGGAACTGGAGGAGCTTTGAGGTCCCTTCAACCCAAACCAGTCTGGGATTCTATGAGGTGCAACTGAGGAAGCTGAGCATTCTGTGAGATGTGCAGAGAAGATGCAGGAAGCAGAGTGGATGACTCTGGTTCTTTATAAAAGAGTCTTTACAACTGATTAGCAAGGCTTGTAGGTGAACATGCAGACTCTTTATTGGGTATATTGAATGTACTACCCTCAAGAAAGAAAATGAGTAACCTCCTTTGCATCTCCTACAGTGAGAAACAGTGTTCTAATTTTACTGACCTCTTCCCTCTCTTCCTTGGTTTCCAGAGTCTGGCGATCAAGTTTTTCCATGGGCTGCTGGATTATGATGAGAAGAGTCCCAGGGTTCACATTGTCATGGAGAAGGGAGACACAGTGTTCTTCCACCCCCTGCTTATTCATGGCTCCAGAAGAAAGAAGACGTCAGGTTTCCAAAAGGTAGGAAACCACCTTTAGATACAGCTGTCAATATTTCTTTAGCTGCTGAACACCATCAAAGTCTTAACTAGGAACTGATTACAAAATAAGTGGGTTGGTTGGACTTGATGATCTTAAAGGTCTCTTCTAATCTAGCTGATTCTGTGATGTGACTGGGTGGGTGCAGAGTAAGAATCCTAATGAACACACAGATCTGCTCTGATTGCTACTGTGGTTGCTGGTAATGGGAGGTCAAGGAGATGAAGTATTGCTTTAGGTCATGTGCATCCACAATCCCAATGCATTAGCTCTCTGCCACCAGCCATTTGTAATCGATGTGTTAGTGAGTGATGCCCAATTTCCCCATGCAGAGTGTAAGCTGTCACCTCACCAAATGGGCTCTGCAACACAGCTTTGCATTGGAAATGGGAATAAAAGGAGGAAAGTTTGGTCTGCGCTTTTGTCCCACATGTACTTAATTTTTGGAGGGGAAGAAAAACCAGGCAGCAAGTCGGTTGAGGAAAACGAAATGATGTGAAATGGTTGGGTGAGTCCAGCTGGCCAAGAGAGCTGCATGCGATGGCCCAAGAGACCACGGGAAAACTGACAGTAGTGTGTTTATTGTGAAAGGGTATTAAGTTTTCATTGAGTCGATTTTACTTGAGAGTTAATAAACCCAAACTAGTTAGTGCAGAGGGAGAAAGGGCTGAAGGTTTAATTTTTCCTCAAAGTGGTTATAAAATCCAAGGAAAACTCATTTGTGACAGTGGGACAAGATGCCGAAATTAACATTTCCACAGTAGCTACGAAGAAGGAAGATGCTCAATGTATCTAAAAACCAAACTTGATTTTGTAGAAGAGAGAAGTGGTGAATGCTCCATCCCTGGCAGTGTTCAAGGGCAGGTTGGACAGAGCCTTGGGTGACATGGTCCGGTGCGAGGTGTCCCTGCCCATGGCAGGGGGTTGAAACTGGATGATCTTAAGGTCCTTTCCAACCCAAACCATTCTGTGATTTTATGAATGAGAATATTGTGTGGCAGCCAGAGACACTGACTACAAACCACTTCCTTCTGGTGATCCAGCACCAAACTCTTGGGCAAGTGAAGATGTTGAGCAACTCCTCCTCTTCCTCAAAGAAATGACATTGTGCAAACCCAGGGAGCCTTTTATTGTGTGCTGTGTTTATTCTGAATGAGGAATCAACAGCAGCCATTGCCAAGCAATGTCACAGTTACATGTTGTCACCTCCCAGTGACACCCCACTCACCAAATGGTAGTGACATGAATGCAATGCACTGAGCCAAGCTGCAGAACACTGAGGGAAACCTCTTCAGCTGCTTCAAATAAAGCAACTTTTCAGCTCCTCTGGAAGCAAACAGAAGAGGTACCAACAAGGCCACTGGGAGATGTGAGACTGTTGGTGGCAGTTTCACCAAATCACTGAGGTACTAGTGGTTTTAGGCTCTAAGAAATACCCTATGATCCTATGGGGCATGAGCTAGGAGCAGCAGAAGGATCAGGTCCAGGACAAGCCAAACACCACAGGTATCCATCCTTACAGTGATGTGCTTTCAGAAGAACACCTGTATGAAGACAATCCTTCTCAGGAGCCACCCTTTGGCCATGACGGGAAAGATTTCAGGACAATTTAAAATGCCAAATCCCAGGTAAAAGGTATTAAATGTAATTGCTCAGCTCTTTAAAACCACTCACAAACCAGTGCCAGATTCATTAAAATGCTTTTCAAAGTGGGAGCTGTAAGTCTGTGGCCACAAAGACGCTGTAGTGTGGATGGTGGTGGAGACTCACTATGGGCTGTGTGACAAGGAAAGGGGTTTCCAAAGAGCTCCTGCTAGTCTGCAGTGTAAACACCACTGGCTGGCAATGCCAAAGCCACTGGAGGGGGTATTAACACATAAACCAAGGAGACTTCTTGGGAACTGTTTGACATCTGCTCTCAAGGGTTCAAAGAGAGTAATTTTGGAGCCAATGAAGACTGTTCTGTGCCTACAACCCCCTCTCACACCCCTTTTTGGCCAAGAATTGAACAACCGTGACAGGCTGGCATTTACACATCACAGTGTTAACCACACACGTGCTCATGGAACCTACAGTCCTCCCAGTTCATGATGATTTGTCACTTCAGATTCCAGCAAGGTCACTCTACGCCAGCCATTCAGCATAACTTGTGGGAGCCCTAGGGATTTCTTGGTACAAAGTCCACTCTAGATGTCTATTTCCTAGGTTAAATCTTGTGAACAAGTTGTTAGTAAGAAAGAAGAGGCACGATGCATGTTTCAGGTGGAGCCTGATTCAATTTTAAAAAGATCAAAGTTGAACATCCACACAGTGGCCTGGTAGAGACTTTGTGGGTGTCCTCCTCATCAGGAATTGATTCCCCAGCTCATTCATCCCTAAAACCAGTAAAGAAGCGTGTGTCTTAGGCATAGAAATCCATCCTTATGGCGTGGAAAAAACAATCAATCAACTTTAGGTCACTTAAGACTATTGAGGAATTTTGGGTGTTCCTCCCCTCGTGGTAGAAGTGTTTCTCCACCAATCTTCGGACCTTTTTTCTCCTAGAAACATGAACCACGGAGAAAAGAAGTTAAAGGTGAAATGTCTCCCACCCCTTTCTTTGACAGAAGTGGTGGTAGGGCTATATTATGTGATTAAATACTGACACCCTGAGAACCCTGACATTCTGAATTCTTCGGTCAAAAGCAAATTCCCCACAGTTAAATGAAACAAAGCTTCAAGATCATAAAGCAAGAAGAGGAAATCCACTAAAGCACAGCCTGTGGTTACCTGTATGTACCTGACAAAACAGAGCTGCCTGGTTTTGTTGGAAGCTTGTAAGGGCTCTGAAGCAAAGCGTGGGGCAAAAGTACCAAGAGAAGCAGAGAGCTGAGGTGCTCATCAACTGCTGGCTTCCACTTACCTTCAACATCCCGTCCCGCTCCCATTTGAAGAGGCCACAGGTACTGAAAGATGAAGGTGACAAGTGAGGACCACTGTGGTGGGTGTTTGCTGCACATGAGGGGGGCCAAAAGTAGCCCCACATTGCTAATGTTCCCATCTCAGGGCATGGTTATGTGACTCCCAGCATGTTACTGGTGAATGACAGTAAAAAAGCCCCGGTCACTATTCCCCAAGGCTCATTTCTTACCTGCAGGGCTTTTTTGGGAGCCTGTGAAGGGAAATAGCTCGGCCTCCACAAGGACATTTGAAAAAGCGCTTGACAGCATCATGAAAGTGGTAGTCATGGTTATCCTGGACACACGTCTCCAGAGGCTTGAAATAGGTGTAATTACACTGTCAGGGAGGAGAGAGAGAGCTGTGAACTTCTGAGTGAACCAGCATGAGGCCTGTTCTGTGGGCTGGCAGCTGAACATTGAGGAAAGCATCTGCCTTCTCCCATCCTGAGGAGCTCATCCCTGAGATCATCGCCCTGGGCTTGTCACTGCTCCTTCTAACACCATCCCTGCCTCTGCCACCACCCTGCTCCCAGCACCTCATGAGGCACACCGTGGCCCTCTATGCAGTCCCGA